GGGTCATAGAATCCATTTCTAGGTCTCTCCCCATTGCGGAACGTTTTAAACGTTTATGCCAATGAGAGACCTTCTGAATTTATACATTGGACCCTCACCCCAGGGATCTCAATGAGTTACTAGAGATCCACACTTTACTATAAATCATGAACCAATATATATAGGTTCTTAGTCTTTTGTTATCCCAAATTTCACCCAATATCCATGGCCGTTTAGTCCCATAAACAAACATACTAAAAACCCCTAGAGACCCCATAAAAATATAACTGTGAACTAGTCTTGTATATGTGACTTCTCTATACATGCATGCATTTCTTATACACGCATGTTTGCACACACATATGTGTACAGATTGTAAGCTCGTAAGAGTGGGCCCTCTTACCCCTCGTACACTGTGCCATGTATTGTCCCCCCTATTGTACATATTTGGCGCTATACAGTAATAATATAATAATAATAATAATAATAATAATAATATACATACAGTATATATAAGATAGACATGTGACTTTGTTTCCACATACTTATCCATCTTAATGATATAGTGGAAGCTTTTCTATTTTCTATTCTATTTTTTATTTTAAGTTTCTATTTCTTATTCCTTATTGTGTTTTTTCTTTTCCTTTGCTTCTCCTATGGTCACAGTTAATATTTGCTATACAGACATTTTTCTTACTTTCTTTTTCCTCCCTCCCATCTCCCTTCTGCTTACTTATTATGCATTTATTTCTTATGGTGCAATATTTATATTTAATTTTAAATTGTATATACAAGGTCAGCTGGGCTTTGCAGTCCTCCAGACGTTCTAGTTCTATAAATAGAGCATTTTAGGCAGTTCACTCCTAGGCCTGTAGAAGCAGCAGCTAGCTCCAAGCGCGCAGCCTTGCCTTTTCTCTCTCTGGTTGCCGACCTTCCCCCTGTGTGATGTCATGTTGAGGTCCACGCCGATCACAGACACTTCCGGTTCCAGCGGTGGTACCCTGGGACTCCCTACCATCAACAGCGCTCTGGGACCTTCTTCACCACCGATGGAGGCCCCCCATCCTAATCGGACGGATCCCTGCAGGGACACATAAGACGGCAGCATACCCAGAAATCATCCTTACTGATGGGCTTTTAAACCACTTCATTATTGTGATGTTTTTGTTATCATTTGTGGCTTATTAAACTGCACTTAGCAGGAACCTCTCTTATTTTTTCTCTCCACATATTATGCATAATATGGCTTACTCTGGGATGGCTGCCATTTAAGCAGTTACACAGCTATGGACTTTTTGGACTTATGGACTTTTTGTATATTTATTCTGTATATCCACTGGATATGAGCCACTAGTGTGTTGCGAGAGTCTTATATTCCAGGTGCATTATTCACTTTTGTTTTGTCCATTTCTCGAGTTTATCCGTCTTCCTTTTAATACAGTCAAAGAAAGTATTTGATAAATTTGCCTTCTCTTTGTCCCCATTCGCTAAAGCCAAGTTATCTTGTGACCTAAAAACTTTGACCTGAACGTTTTACCATTAAAATATTTAAAGAATGTTTGAGGGGCTGTCTCCCTATTGCAACCTGCTGTTTGGTTTGAATTTTTGCAATCTTGATTTCCTATATATATATTTTGTTGTTTTTTTTTTTTTCTAACTTTAAAATGATTAAAGTGTTCTTTTGCCATTATATTTTTGAAAGTCCTTTTCTTATTCTTTATTATACTTTGTTTAATGATTTGGATATGCACGACATAGATTTTACTTTAGGCCATTACGTTTAGGCCAGTAATGCATGGTAATGTATTTTGCAGTGTGTTTGCATATATAGTTGGTTTCTTTTCTGTGTTCTTTGATGACAATATTCCCTACATGTTTAGGTCTTGGAAAGCAGCCCTCGTTGTTGAAAATTTGCTTTTGTAAAAATGCAGAAATGCATTGGTCCCCATTATTTTCTGACTAAAGGTTCATGGTCCATACTTCCATCAGATGTCTCTAGGTTTACAAAACCAAGCAAAATAGTAACTAGTGATAGTTTCAACCATAAAGATTTAAAGGTCAGGTCAAAAGCAGAGAACTGGCAAAAAAAACAAAACAAAACAAAAAAACCTGAAAATAATACAAAAGAGGTACTCAAAGTAAAAGGTCATGCTGAGAAAATGTGAACTTAAAAGAAGTAGGAATGTACAAGCATCAAAGCTCAGATGGTTACAATATCAGGTAAAACATGTCATTTTTGTAAAAAACGTTTTAGGAGACAACCCCCCCCCCCCCCAAAAAAAAAAAACATGTTTGCCCATGTAAAAAAGGAGAATTTAGATATGAAAGGGAGAATCAAATGCACCCTTACACAGGAGGTATAGGACACATGAATATAGCAAAATGCATATTTTTTTTTATCGCAGAAGGTATGCCATTTGTGACCATTGTAACATATGTTTTTCGTCAAAAGCAATGAAAGACAAAATATTTAGAAAATACATGGAAATAGCAAATGTATGAATATATGAGCTTTCAAATGCGTGCAGAAGATGGCTTCACTACTACAACTGCAGAAAGCCCTAACAGACACATACATACAGTAGTTGCTTTAGTAAAGGCTGTTCACTTCACAATGGGGACCCAATCATGTGCAAGGGGAACCCCCCCCCCCCAATAAAAAAAAACCAAAAAAAAAAAAACACACACAACAGTATTTTTATTTCCACATGAATGGATGACAGAAGTCAGCAGAATTTCATCTCACTTTTTAAGCGGAGAGTAAATTCCCTTTCAAAGTGAACACCTTATTTGCCTTTAGCAAATCAACCACAATGAATCTCACATTATCTTTGTGTTGGATTTGCTTGTAAAGCTTGGTATACACGTGTTGTCCAGCAGCCTGTCTGGATTCTGTAAAAAAAGGCATGCTGGAAAAAGAGCAGCAGATCGGCATCGGATCACCGCTTGCAGCTAATGGCTGCGAGGACTAACTGGTGTGTTCTGGGGGGGAGGGGGGGGGGGGCAGTCCCCCCTTCAGAACACAATAGCTCAGAGGGGAGATTGCAGTACTAACAGTTAGTTCAGTGAGCGCCTCAATTTTTTTTTCCCCATCAGCCTGCTGGGTTGAACATAAAAAAACTGCCTGTGTGTACCAGGTGTAAAACATTGGATTTTCACATACAGGTGGAACTCGAAAAATTAGAATATCGTGCAAAAGTTCATTTATTTCAGTAATGCAACTTAAAAGGTTAAACTAATATATGAGATCAGACCAGGTCTGTTCTTCTTTAGCCCAGGTAAGCCGCTTCTGACATTGTTTGTTGTTCAGGAGCAGCTTGACAAGAGGAATACGACATTTGAAGCCCATGTCCAGGATCCATCTCTGTGTGGTGGGTCTTGATGCACTGACTCCAGCCTCAGTCCACTCCTTATGAAAGTCCCCAACACTTTTGAATGGCCTTTTCCTGACAATCCTCTCCAGGCTGCGGTCATCCCTGCTGCTTGTGCACCTTTTTCTTCCACACTTTTCCCTTCCACATAACTTTTATTAATGTGCTTTGATACAGCACTTTGGGAACATCCAACTTCTTTTGCAATTACCTTTTGAGGCTTTCCCTCCTTATGGAGGGTGTCAATGATGGTTTTCTGCACAACTGTCAGGTCAGCAGTCTTTCCCATGATTGTGATTCCTACTGAACCAGACTGAGACCATTTAAAGGCTCAGGAACCCTTTGCAGGTGTTATGGCTTAATTAGCTGATTAGAGTGGGACACTTTGAGCCTAGAATATTGCACCTTTTCACAATATTCTAATTTTCTGAGATTGTGGATTTGGGGTTTTCATGAGCTGTAAGCCATAATCACCACAATTATGATAAATCATGGCTTGAACTATCTTGCTTTGCATGTAATGAGTCTATCTCATATATTAGTTTCACCTTTTAAGTTGAATTACTGAAATAAATGAACTTTTGCAAGATATTCTAATTTTTCGAGTTTCACCTGTATCTACCCCACAGAGAGGTAATTACTATTTTGGAGAAGGTGTGGTTTTAAGTGATCCAGATGTTATGCTGATGTTGCCTACCCAAATAATAATGTATTCTATAGTTCTGGACCATTTTGCTGGAGATAAAAAAGGGTCTGTTGAATTTTAAATTTTTATATGTACCTGGGAAAAAAAACTCAAGGGATTTTCTCCTAATCTCCATTTAGGCTCTAACACACACCACATGCACAAAAAAAACCAACACCATAAAATGCATTTTTTGGGAAAAAAGGATTGACTACCATGTTTTATTAAGAGTTCACAAAAAGGTCCGGATCTTGGTTCACAATTATTAAATCATACTTTCCTCTGTGTATTGGTGTTCATTTTCAGAGCGCAACAGACAAAACAAAGTAGCCAGGTATTTCAATAGTATAGACTTTTTTTCTTCAGAGTAGCCTGCAGAAGAATATCCTTTATTGTCTAAAGCATGACTGATAAAAATCATACAGACTTATCCAATAAAGCAGTCCAAAGAACAAAGCATAGTACATTATCTCATACCAACTAACCCAAAATTGCCGCTTACCTAATCTGATTATAGTTCTCCAATCTGATCTGTTGCTGTGGGCTACATCACTTTGAACTGCCTTACTGAATAAACCCAGTACTGTAACAGGTGGTCTTTGCTGCAGCACAGAAACATCCTGCTCCTCAAAAATACTGCATGACACAGTGGCAATTACAGCTATATAAAAAGACTGTGGAAAAAAGATTAATGAAACAAAGATCAGGCCAAATTTGGCCTTAAAAACTCCAGATTCAGCATGGGTAGAGACACGTATTGGTGCTTGGACATTTCTGACCAGCAGTTTAGCAGCTGCTTCTCCACTTTTACCGTCCGCTTCATTTTGACAATAAGGATGCAGTGTCTGAGACCACATATTCACTTCTAAAAAGAATTCCTCACCAACATTACACCCTTTTAACTTGTCCTTTGCTTATTTAACATGGATTAAAAAATAGTGTTTGTAAAGATCTTCAAAAGTTGTTCACAAGTTTTCCTCTTCACGTAAAAACTGGAAGACAGATGAGAAATCTTTCTGGGCATAGCCCTTGGCACACATAATTCTGTATATTTGATGCGAAAGAGATCCCAGAGGTGTTGGGGTTTTAGTGTTTGTGGCAGAGTCCTGGGCCAAACCCAGATCCTGTAAAGTAAACAAGATATTTTAAAACATAGGTAGAAACCGATGAACAACCTGCTTTATTTTCTTTTTTTTTTTTTAAATTACAAAAATTGTACAAATCATTTAACAAGGTACAGCAGATCATTAGACCAGTGTTTCTCAACCTTTTTTTCAGTCAAGGCACCCTTTAAAGTTATGAATAATCTTTTAAAATTATGGACAGTCTCAAAAGCACTCCAGGGTAAAATGTAAAAAAATGATTTATAGTTTTGCCTAATGCAGCAACACCCACACATGCAGGAAACCAACATTAGAGTTGATTTATTCTTCCAAAGCAAGTACACTCTTGCACACTGGTACTGACTATTATTCCAATGTTTATCCTCTCCATCATTTTCTCTCTTTCACTCAGCTAATTTGACCTAATTTCTGACAGAGAGGGGCAGAGGAGGGTCAAACAAGAATGCTGTGCAGTTGATCGACATCCTCCATATCAACTGATGGTGTCATTGGCTGTTAAGAGGCTAGAAGATTGTAATGGTGCACAATGAAAACCTATGGCTTTGTGTAACTAAAACGTAGGCTTGATACAAATTTTGGGCAATCTTTTAGGCACCCCAGTTGAAAAGGGCTGCATTAGACAGTAACGTGTGTGTGTGTGTGTATATTCCAGAAAGAACACGATACAAATGTTATAAATTGAGTTGCAGTTCAGTGAGTAAGACAAGTATTTGATTCCCTACCAACCAACAATAATTCTGTCTCCCACAGACTGGCTATGTGCTCATTTGGTACACAGATTAGTCCTGTCAATTTAGGAAGGTGCTCCGAATGACAACTCGTTATGTGTATAAAAGAGACCTGTCCACAGAATCTCTTTCTTCCATTTAAACCTTGCAATCATGGGCAAGACCAAACGGCTATCAAAGGACGTCAGGAATAAGACTGTAGACCTGCACAAGGCTGGAATGGACTACATAACCATCAGCAAGAAGATTGGTGAGAAGGAGATAACTGTTGGAGCAATTATTTGCAAATGGAAGAAATACAAAATAACCATTAACCATCCTCAGTCTGGGGCTCCATGCAAGATTTCACCTCATGGGGTACAGGATGATAATGAGAAAAGTGAGGGATCAGCCCAGAACAGCACGGGAGGAACCTGTGAATGATCTCAAAGCAGTTGGGACCACAGTCAGCAAACAAACCATTGGCAACTCAATATGCCGCCATGGATTGAAATCCTGCAGCGTCCACAAGGTTCCCCTCCTCAAGAAGGCACATATACAGGCACGTCTGAAGCTTGCCAAAGAACATCTAAATGATTCAGAGAAGGATTGAGAGAAAGTGCTGTGGTCAGATGAGACCAAAATTGAGCTGCTTGGCATTAACTCAACTCGCTGTGTTTGGAGGAGGAAAAATGCTGACTATGACCCTAAGAACACCATCCTTACAGTCAAGCACGGAGGTGGAAACATTGTACTTTGGGGCTATTTCTCTGCTAAAGGTACCGGCCACCTTTGCTACAATAAGGGGCCATGTATTGTAAAATCTTGAATGAGAACCTTCTTGCCTCAGCCAGAACACTGAAGATGGGTCGTGGATGGGTCTTCCAGCATGACAATGACCCAACACATACCACCAAGGAAACAAAGGAGTGGCTCAAGAAGAAGCACGCTAAGGTCATGGAGTGGCATAGCCAATCTCCAGACCCTAATTCTATAGAAAATTTATGGAGGGAGCTATAACTTCGATTTTTCAAGCGACAGCCAAGAAACCTTAAGAATTTAGAGAAGATCTGTAAAGAAATCCCTCCTGAGATGTGTGCAGACCTGGTAACCAACTACAAGAAACGACTTACCTCTGTGCTAGCCAACAAGGGTTTCTCCACCAAGTACTAAGTCATGTCTTGCTTGGGGATCAACAACTTATTTTACGCACTGAACTGCAACTCAAAATTTATAACATTTGTATTGTTTTTTTCTGGATTTTTGGTTGATATTCTGTATAATTTAAAATACACCTATGATAAAAATGACAGTATACACACTTCATTTTTTTGTAAGTGGGCAAAGTTACAAAATCTGCAGGGGATAAAATAATTATTTTCCCCACTGTGCTCAGTAACTGATACACAGTTACAGACAGGCAGTAAGTACACCCAGCACCCAGAAAGCCATAGTAGCTCATTTTAAATGAATGGATCCAACTATGTACAGTTGTGTTCAAAATAATAGCAGTCAGACATCACTAACCTGATCAATCACTGTTTTTGGTAGAAATGATATTTCTACATGGCAATTAATTTACTAGCAGGTGTAGTAGAGTAATAGAAATCCAACAGACCCAACAGTCATGACATGCATGCTGCTGATTCTGTGTAATTGAATCACTAATTGAAAGGGGCATGTTCAAAATAATAGCAGTGTGGAGTTCTATTAGTGAGGTCATTCATTCTTTTGAAAAACAGGTGGCAATTATTGCCCTTATTTAAGGAAGTAAGGCAGCAAATGTTGTACATGCTGGTTACAGTGCATTTCTCTCTGAAATTCTGAGGAAAATGGGTCGTTCCAGACATTGTTCAGAAGAACAGTGTACCTTGATTAAAAAGTTGATTGGAGAGGGAAAAACATATAAAGAAGTGAAGAAAATGATAGGCTGCTCAGCTAAAATGATCGTAAATGCTTTAAAACGGCAACCAAAAACTGAAAGACGTGGAAGAAAGCGAAAAACTACCATTCGAATAAATAGAATAGCCAAAATGGCAAGGACTCAGCCAACAATCAGCTCCAGGAAGATCAAAGAAGGTCTAAAGTTACCTGTGAGTACTGTTACAATTAGAAGACGCCTATGTGAAGCCAAGCTATCTGCAAGAAGCCCCCGCAAAGTCCCACTGTTAAAAAAAAAGATGTGCTGAAGAGGTTACAATTTGCCAAAGAGCACACTGACTGGCCTAAAGAGAAATGGCGCAACATTTTATGGACTGATGAAAGTAAGATTGTTCTTTTTGGGTCTAGTGGCCGGAGACAGTTTGTCAGACGACCCCCAAACACTGAATTCAAGCCACAGTACACTGTGAAGACAGTGAAGCATGGTTGTGCAAGCATCATGATATGGGGATGTTTCTCATACTACGGTGTTGGGCCTATTTATCGCATAGCAGGGATCATGGATCAGTTTGAATACATCAGAATACTTGAAGAGGTCATGCTGCCGTATGCTGAAGAGGAAATGCCCTTGAAATGGGTGTTCCATCAAGACAACGACCCCAAAAACACCAGTAAACGTGCAACATCTTGGTTCCAGACCAACAAGATTGCATTATGGAGTGGCCAGCCCAATCCCCGGATCTTAATCCAATAGAAAACTTGTGGGGTGACATCAAAAATGCAGTTTCTGAGGCAAAACCAAGACATAGAGAAGAACTGTGGAATGTAGTCCAATCATCCTGGGCTGGAATACCTGTTCACAGGTGCCAGACGTTGGTTGACTCCATGCAACACAGATGTACAGCAGTTCTCAGAAACAGTGCTCATACAACTAAATATTAATTAAGTGATTCAAAGGAAAGCAAAATCTTCAAACATTTTTCAGTTTATATAGTGAATATTTGAGTTTGTAAAGAAGAATACAAACACTGCTATTTTTTTGAACAGTCTAATATTTACTTTTCTTCAATTTTTTTTTTTTTTAGAGGAACAACACAAATTTGATATATTTTTCTTCATGTTTTGATTTGGAATAGAATGTGTAGTGTTACCAATGCATTTGTGTGTATGGAAATAAAAGCTATTAGGATTTTCAGCGTTATTCACTTTTTTCAACACACTGCTATTATTTTGAACACAACTGTATGTAAAGCCTAACAATGAAATTCTTATTTGCTACATTTTATTCCACTTAACATATCATTAGAAACATTTTTTCATATGTTTGGTAAATGTCTGTTAAGTTTGTAAGTAATGTAAAGCTTTCTTTGTCTTATTCACACTTCCTGTATTAACTACAGAAGAGGGTTTGTATTCAGCTCTCCTCAGCCCATGTCTTCTATCTTACTTCCATAAAACTCTTTGGCATTTAACACAAGTGCTGGATGCCTGTGTCTCCTGCTGTGCACTAGGTGTTCTTGTATCAGCAGTTACATAATGGAAAGAGGATGGAACTATGACGTGTGGCAAGGGACACAGATATCCAACACTCCCAGAAACCAAAAAGGTTAATAAAGGCTGTAGTGCTGTACGGTCTCTTTTAGATGGGTGGTAAAAATGGGCAGCTAAGCCAACATTTTACTACCTCTCAGTCACCCGCCCAAACTGTAAAATTTCAGCTGGAAGGAGCTGCACTGCTTGTCAAACTCACCCATTAAGTTAAATTGTTTTATGCAATGCACGTGATTGTGGCACAATATATCACTTCACCACCAGTCGTCAAAGCAATCTAAACACAGATCACACTTCAGAGTGCACCGAATGTCTCCATGTGTAAGATTCCCAACAGTAGAAAATGTAGGCATGGGTCATTGGGGAGGAGAGTATAAAAGCAGGAACTAATAAGTTGAGTTTATTAAACGGTTGACACCGGCGGTACGCATATATGCAGCCTCTCGGCATGTGGGCTTTAAAGCGGAGCTCCACCCAAAAGGGGAAGTTCCGCTTTAAGCCTTTGTCCCCTGCTCCCCATTAAGGATTGGCACCTTTGGGGAGCAGGTACCCGAATTTGACAGGTACCCACTTCTGCTGCGATTGGAAGCTGAAGTTGTCCTCCCCGTAGTCTTCTGGGAAACGACATGATAGGTCCCAGAAGACTACGTGGCCTTTCACAAAGCACAGAGCTTCTCGCGCATTGGGCACCCACTATCACAGCCGGGTGCCCACACTGAAGATGCCGGCGTGAGGGAGAGAAGACGGCCAGTGAAACCAGCGGTGGTGAGGACACCGCTGGGCCGAGGGACAGGTAAGTGGTGTCTGTATTTTAAAAGTCAGCAGCTACAGTTTTTGTAGCTGCTGACTTTGATTTTTTATTTCAAGTGGAGCCCGGCTTTAACAGCGAGAGGCCACATATATGCATACCAGAATGTAAACATGACAGTGTTGACAGCCCACACCCTGTGTGCTCCTGGTACAGTTACCAGTGGCTCACAGAAATCTTTCTGATCATGTGACCCCCTGGGACAGCCAATCACAGCGATTAAATGATCAGAAACCCCTCCCCTCCTCCCAGCATCAGAAACCTTTTAAAGGGCCAGGAGGCACCGGTGTTAATGGGTTAAAATTCTGACAGTCCCTCCTAAAAGACCTGAGCAGGTCAAAGCATTTTTTAATTAGAGCCTTCTAAATTAAGATGTGTAACATCTTATTCCTGGGATCCAGTGATTCCCCATGCTTCCAAAGTATCTGAGAAGTCCAGTGGAGGACACCCTGTCTTCTGCCAAGTTAACAATGATGTTCTTTTGAAAAGCAAAGGGAACCCGAAGCCAGGGCTTGCCAGCTTTGACAAGTGGTAACCTAGGAGTCCAGGAGCGGTTTTCAGCATTATTTAAATTATTAGAAGAAGAAAAAAAAAAATGGAAGGACATCAGCAGATAAAAATGGCCTTTTGACTGAATTGTCATCATCAATTTATAAAGACATTTAAAGCAAGCAGAAATAAACTTTTAAAATAAAAGCAGGTGGAGATTTTAAGTGGAAGAGATTTTGTATGTCTCTTCTGCTCTAAAAAAAAACCTTATATACTTTCTTGATTGTTTGGGTAAATAGGAAAATTATTTTAATGCTAGGCTATCTGAAGAACAAACAAAAGATTTTAAGACTATGCCATATTTCTTCTATTGGTTTACAATCTGAGGAGTTGAATTGTAAACCAATTAGTGCAATTAACATACCTGCAATTTTTAAATTAGGATCACTTTGAAGGACTGTTTTTGTTGCTTATGTACCTATACATTTTGGGGGTGTTTGGTTTAATTTTTGTTTATATATAACCTTTTTTTTAAAAAAAAAAAAACAAAAACAAAAAAAAAAAAAAAACACATTTTTACCCATCTACTAGTCAATCTCTTTATAGTTCACCATCTATGGAACATGAGCAATACAGACCATGTCTTTCAGTGCTTTAGCACTACGATGGGCCATGTACTGTAGGGATGTAGGGGCTGCTGGTGCATGTGTAGTAGTGGCTCTGGTCTTGCTGAGATCTGGTGCTGTGCGTAGACGATGCATGTGATTTGAAATCCAGGCACAGTATCAACAGCCCTTACTGCACATGCGCTGGATAGGCACAGCATCATCTCTCACTAAGACAGCAGCTACTACTGTGCGTATGCCTGCCAGACCGTGCAACTGCTGTACACAGAGTGTGCTCCCAAGGAGGAAAAAAAAGGCAGAAATCAAACTGATGTGTCAAATGACCTTGGTTTTTCTGACTTCAAAGGAGAACAAGATAGTTGAGGATGTTGAGAACAGTCTGGTGAAGGCAATAAGGGGACATATTAGGTAATCCACCAGGGGTCTGTAATCAGAAAAGGTTAAGAGCCCCTGCTCTATAGTATACAGGGCAACCACAATGTAGGTTTGTATAATATTAAAGTCCAACTCTGGCTTGGGATTATTTTTTCCCCTTGCCTACTGGGGTATCCACCATCCCTTTAAAAACAAAATCTTTATACTCAACCTTTTTATATAGGTGTTTTTGGTCTAGTCCACATACTCTTCTTCTTCAGCAGTGGGTGGATCCTAAATGCTGCAGACAGCAGAACAACCCTCCTATGAGTACAGGGAAGCAGGCAAAACCATGAAGTCCTGGGTTCACAGGAAGTGGGCTGAATGACCTAAGTGTCATCTAACCAAAAAAAAGGAGGGTTGACCATGGATCAAACAGTGGGTGGTCCTGCAAAGGACAAGGCCAGTGAGGGTTGAAAATAGTATCCAGGGCAAATTTTTTTTTTTTCTATAATGTCTACTGGGGGATCCTTTTAAGTCTTTTTGCCCATGCTGGGATCGGGATTTAAACATTTGTTAAATTATATGTTGTTTAAGGGTTTCTAAACCTGTTGGTTGTTTAACATGTTGTATTCTTTGAGTGCAATGCATACATTAGAAAAAGCAAAATGCAAAAGGTAAAGAAAGCAATCCTATTTAGATCCCACTAACAGTATAAATGATAGCACAAAGAATAAGCTGCATCTCAAGGGAGACTTCAGTTCCATAGAAGGGTTACCTTAGAGCAAACAATTGATTTAACAATTTACTTTATCTTACCATATAAATCCAATGAATTTTTTTATCCATAATCAAAATGTATTACAACAATTTGCATAATAATGTACCTTGGCCATAAGGGTTGTTCCAAATCCACCCTGGTAATTATTGGCGGAGGGCACGCCTTCCATAACCCCTGGTACAGGGTTGTAAGTGTCACTTGACCAGCATCGTCCAGAGCTCATGTTCAGGATTTTGGCCAGCAGCTTTGGGTCAAGCCCTAATCTATAAAGGGTCAAGGAAAGCATATTAATATTCAACTGCATCAGGACACGGGTGACAAGTTTTACACACAAGAAACACAATGTCATTTTTCACTCTTTATTATGTGTCCAAAAATGGTGGAGTATTGATATGGGAGATAGGGTAAGCAATATAAATTAAAATCCATAAATCTCTCATAGTGTTTATTATGCTGCCTTGTTTACAGCTCCCATTATCAGATGCAGCACATACTACAAAACTGCCTGGATAGATTTTGGGGGAGAAAAAATGTTCAGTATACATTTGCATTACAGTTCATGTATTATATACGAGATTATATAAACAAAGTACTTCCACCCCATGAAACACGGTAGACAAATATTTATTACCCTTTCAAAAAGAAGTCCTAGATACAGAAATAAAATATTTAACAACATAAATAACTTAATACAAAAAAAGCATTAAGCGTACCTAAACCCAAGAACAAAAATATATCATATTGCATTCTACTAGTCTTAGGACTGGTGGCTGCATTAATTTTATAGCCAATACCAACAAAAATCTGCACTCAGAAAAAAAAAAAAAGTGTCAATATTCCAACCAAATAGCAACTGTACACGATACTAGGAGAAAAATAGTGTAACAGTGCTCAACCAGTGAAAAAAAAAAATCAATCATAAACCTTAATCTTAAGAATTATGCGTGATAAATAATGATGATACAGTGTAAAAGTCCCTAATGGAGTAAAATTAAAAACAGTCCCACGTGCCGTGATGAAACCAGAGAACTTCATATAACCAGTGTGACACCATCTACTCGCATGCAAGGCTTACCGGAAGGATTGTGACCACTTACTAAGAGTGGTCAATCAACGCTCTTTAATATATTGGTAACATCATGGATGGTCCTCCAAAACATTCTGAAAAAAGTAGCAAGGAGTCATCCAAAATCACATAAGGTTTATGATTTTTTTTTCACTGGTTGAGCGCTGCACTGTTTTACACTGCATTAATTTTATGTTTTCAGGCTTTTTTCCCCATTTTGTGCACTTGGTGATCCTGCCAGTAACACATTTCCTCCTAGGGCAACAACTCTTACTCACTGTAAGGTACTGATTGAGAAGCAGCGTGGTCACCCAAGGTTGCTCACTCCTGATTTAGACTACAAAACAGCTTCTCCTTTCCGCATCTCTGTGAATTACAGAATAACTTCCTCTATTTTGCAAAAGCAAACCAGACAGGACTGATAATGCTCCTTGAGATTTCAGGACAGTTTATGCAGAATGCACTGGAAGTCACAATGCTCACTGGTTTTCTGCCATGATCAGGCATGTATCTTTTTTATACCCATCATACAAATATAACAAAAACACTTTCAATGGTTTAACAGATCAAAAAGGAAGAAAATAAGAGATACCCATTGTTAGGGTTTACAAACACTTTAACCCCCTACCACTAGCTCCTGGCGATCTTTAAAGAAGCGTTTACAGACAAAAGGCGTTCCCGTTGATTGGCTGTCAGAGTGATCACATGATCAGGTGCATATCAAACTGACTTTCAATTGCTAAATGACAGGGAACACGCTCACAGCCCAGAATTATGGCCCCAACTGCATACACATATGTGGCAGCATGGTGCTAAACCCCAAGTTTAGCTAAAATTCAAAACATAAAAATCAGCACAAGGGACATAACTTACAATTAATATTATGTGCCCCTTGAGCTGATTGTTCCTCTCTCAGTGGATATCATCATCTATTCCAATGGAGGAGATGATGCTATCAATCATCTGTCAAGGCCTCATTCAGAGATCCCGTGTCATTTATGACAGCTGCGATAAGTCTTCTATGAATGGCAAAACTGAAAGGAAAGGTATAGTTAAGTTCTCTTAAAAAGGAGCTTATGACAGCCCCTTAGCTGTATTAACCCCAAATGCAGTGGAATATTATGGCAGTAGGGGCGAGGGAATGTTAGGACAGGTGAAGATTTCTACCGAAGAAAGAAGAGTCAGCAAAAGGAACACATACGAACTTTAAGCCATGCCCCTTGTGCTGACTTTTGTGTGGGGAACATTTGAGCTAATCTTAGGCTTTAAAGCCCATCACCGGGCTGGTACATATATGTGTATGGCTGGCGGCAACAGGAATGTAGTCTGTAAACATGGTACTACAATATTGAAAGAAAATGTTCTTTGCATATCTTCCAATTCATGTACTGGATTGCATATCGCATATTTTCCAATCCATTCACACTGAGTATAAAAGCGAGAATGAGCACTGACTTCATCATTCAACCTGATGAAGTCATGTGACAGTGATGTAACGCGTAGGTCGGAGAGCGGAATGTGGTGACGTAATTTCCGACGCGAACGGTTGCAGCCATATTGGTACACCCAGAACACCCATATCAGCACATGGGATTGATGCCTTGTTTGATCTGTTCCCATGTAAGTTCACATTTGTCTTTACATCTGATTAATTTACAATATTAAACTATGGAAGCACTTTTTCTTGTCTCCCTGTGCGTTTGTATCACCATTTTCTGTTTTATACTAGTTGCACTCTAATAAGTGACCATATAAATACCATAAATAAATCTGGCAAACATATATAGTCGTTTCTGTCACATGGCCTTTTGATGCACATTGTGTTATGATCCTTTATTCGCATGGTCACAATTTTTGGCCTCACTGTGCGTTGTTATTGTCATTCTTCTGTGATAACTGGTTTGTCCACTTTTAATATTTAACCGCTTACCTACAGGGCACTTATACCCCCTTCCTGCCCAGGCCAATTTCCAGCTCTCAGCGCTGTCACATTTTGAATAACAATTGCGCGGTCATGCAACACTGTACCCATTTGAAATTTTTATCTTTTTTTGTGACAGATAGAGCTTTATTTTGGTGGTATTAAATCACCTCTGGGTCTTTTATTTTTTCTTAAACAAACCAAAAATCACTGACAATTTTGAAAAAAAAAAATGTTTTTTCTTAGTTTTTTGTTATAAAATTTTGTAAATAAGTGATTTTTCTCCTTCACCGATGTGCGCTAATGAGGCTGTAGTGATGGGCACTGATAAGATGCACTGATGGATACTGATAGGTGGCACTGATGAGCAGGCACTGGTAGGTGGCACTGATAGATAGGTGGCACTGCTAGGATGCACTGATGGCACTGATAAGGCGGCGCTGATGGCAGCACTGATAGGTGGCACTGAAGGGCACTGATATGGCATTGATGTGCACTGTGCACGGATATGTGGCATTAATGTGGCACTGATGGGCACTGGCACGTGGCACTGTTCAGCACTGACAGCTGGCACTGATGGACACTGACAGGTGGCACTTCTGGGGCCACACTGATAATCAGTGCCATGATGATCAGTGTACATGTCCCCTCCGCGGAATGCCTAATACTGGCTCTCCTCTCCTCTCGAGCTGTCAGCGTGACAGCTCGAGAGGAGAGAAATGCCGATAACCGGCATTTTCCTGTTTACATGTGATCAGCTGTGATTGGACACCACAGCTGATCACACATGACCGAGCCGACATCTTCGGCTCTTTCCATGGATCAGTGATCCGCTGTGTCCGAGCCAATCGCCGAGCTGTGCACTCCCTGAGTGGCGCATGCGCAGGGGGGAATGGAAGGCCGTCAAAAGACTGCCTATCAGAACGAGAGAACCACCTTGCGCCCATCATTGGACTATATGGCGGGCGGGAGGTGGTTAAGCACTTCATTTTGTATTTTTCACATTTTGTTCCTCTTTCTCATCAGTTGTATTCACGTTGTTTCATTTTTGTTATGACGGACTCATATGTCCCACTATTACTGTGATTTAGCTAAGATTTTATTTTTCCCTGATCATTTCCGTGCGTTTTGCCCACGGTCTATTGTCTGTTACACCTTTTGGTCCTCATTTTGGACCTTTATTATTTCACCTTACCCTTCACTCCCATATTCCTTCCATTGTATTACCTATTGTCTTCTCATCTCATTATTTGTTTTGGAAAGTCTGTGGCATTATTGTGATTAGCGCAAGATCAATTTTCTGTTTGTTTTTTGCTAGTGGTATAGCCAGGTGTGTGCTGCTGTCCCAATAGTCCCATCTTTTCTAGTAACGGCGTGAAAGGTTTTTTTTCCATTCTTTACCCTCTCTGTCTTTAATGCTGGACTACAAATCTCCAACCAGGAAAGACACCGGCAAAGGACATGGAGAGTGGACTTAGGTGAGTAAAAGGCCACTTTGGAAGGATGTTTTCTTCTTTTTTACTAAACAGGCTAAGAATGGGTAGGAAGGAAAGACAGAATTTACAGAATCTCTGCCTATGCATTTTATATCACAAGCTCAGTTTAAACTGCTCAGGTGTGTGACAGGTTCACTTTAAAATAAATCCCCAATCACCTACAAGTACAACCTTAGGTTTAAGTAGAAAGCATATTAAACAATGCCATTACCATTACTTAGTAACTATTCAGCACAAGCAGAAACGGATCTGAATAAGTACACTAATGACAGTGTAAAACCAATATTTAAACAGGTTACAAGATCCTTCCAGATAGAGCCCTCAGCTGTGTGGGACTTGCACAGACTCATTATTAAATCTTCATTAGCTGAGCTGCCCAGGAAGCAGTCTGCACAGAGATGTGACATATGTTCTCCTACTGGCAGACAAGCACTATAGTTCTGGGTCAACTGCTGATAAGGTTGCTGATCCTTATAAAACAAAGCTTGGCCAAGCAGAAACATCATTTGTTCTATCACTAGGTTTATGACATAAAATCATGCTCATTGTGGCCAAGACGTTATCTTCAAGATTTTAATATTCTTAAAAACAAAACAGTTGGCACAAATTAATTTTGGAGATTCCTACTAACAACCATCTAGCGTTAGTTACAGAATTCTTTTTGCCTTTAAAGGGAAAGGAATGGTTACATCTGGAATATCATCTATAACTTTCCAAAATGTAATACTGTAAGTACCAGTGCAGAAACTACTTTGTAGATTTTTAAAACAATAGTGTTTA